TTCATGACAAGCACATTTGGCCTGGCTATACCACACTGTGCTACTTTTAACTGGTAATTGCGCAGTTGTGCAATGCTGTACCCAAAAGAAAATTGAGAGTTTTTTTTTTTCTTTTGACAGTATTTGATCAACCCAACAACTTTTCACTTCTTAATAGGTGATTTAACAGTACTGATTGGCATATTCAAGGCTTTGGACATCTTTTTATGTCCTTTTCCATCTTTATAAAGTTCCATACCTTGTTACTCAGGGCTTTTGATAGTTCTTTTCTGATCCCCATATCTCAGTATGTAGCCTAGTCAGTGCTTCCACATAAGAGCTAACAAACTCATTGACTTTTTTTTTTACAATGACACTAATTGCAATTTTAAAAAGCCACAGATGTGGGACATTGACCTCTGTCATTTTAACCTGTGTGTGTGTGTCACCTTGCGTGTCTGTACCAAGGCCAAACATTCCAGGGTATGTAAACTTTTGATCATGGCCATTTGGGTGATTTCTGTTATGATTTAAAAAGGAGCCAAACAACTATTTTTGATAATAAATGGCTTCATATGATCATCATCCTTCAATAAAAGAGCATTTTTTGGCATGATCAGTCATATTTTTAATATCAATGCCAAAATTTCACAATTTTTGCCAGGGTATGCAAACTGAGCACAACTGTATCTTGCAATGTATCTATCTTTCACTACATTCAGAAGAGGAAGTTAACACACGGGCAGGCTGCAGTGACTAAATTTAGTTCTGGGTCCCAATTGTTGGTATGAGACCCAGAGATCCTGGTCTCTGTGCTGGGAGTGCAGTGTGCAGCGCGCTCCCAGCACAGTGGTACACAAATATGCAGCCCCATGGATTAAGGCCCACTTCTGTGAGGCTGCATATATGCATATGGTCAGCGGGAAGGGGTTAAATATATGTAGCCTGGAGTGCTGTGGACTGTCTGTTCCCTACAACATAAATAGAATCTCCTTTTGCAGACCTTTATCCATCATGCCATACCATCGGGGACTGGCCCCAAATTTATTCTGTAACAGGAGTGTTTCCATTTTTTTGGTCTAACCCGTGTGCTTTTTTTTTTTTTTTTTTTTTTTTTTTTTTTTTTTTTTTTTTTTTTTATTGGGGGGGGGGGGGTTGCCACTTGTGCGTCCCCACTGAATACTTTTCCTCTTGCTCCAGCTCTGTCCCTGGCTGCAGCTCTTCTCTCCCTTTTTTTTCTTAGTCTCACAGGAGACTCAGGCAGCAGCAGGATTTATTGGCTCCTACTGCTGTCAGTCAAATCCTGCAAGGAGGGAGCAGGGGAGCATTGCAAAGCTGAGCTGCGCTGTGCATGTCTATGGATGCACACCACCTGGTTCGGGAGCGCCCCCCTATAGCACACCTCTTGCTTTTGTATAATTGGATTTTTTTTTTTTTTTTTTTTTGTATGCAATACAATGGTAGCTTTTCACTCTATAATTTCCATATTGTTTCAGTGATGGTGGAATTCCTTTTGAAATGATGTGACTTATCACTTTTTCCATTAAGGGCGCTTGAGCTGGTGCCTGATATGTAACTTAGATCTGAACAAAGGCAGTGTGATTACATAGATGACACACAATGTTTGCCTTGTGACATGAAGTATCACTTACATTCCATTGCATAGATGACTCTATGCAGAGAGAATGTACAATCAAGATTCATCTGGGGTGTAACCTGTTAGTGAAAATGTCAGGTTTCTGACAATTGTGGCAATGTTGGATTCATCTGACATCCCTATGACAGTATTGTTCAATTGATGAATTCATGAAGTTCCTTACATCTAGTGTCATATTTCCCTGATTTTAGCTGGATTCTTTAATAGACTCTAGGGTTTTAGTAGTGGGAGTGATTTTGGCAGTTTTTGAAGCCACTGCTAGGGACGTGAGGCCTTTTTTTTTTTTTTTTTTTTTTCCTGACTCTAAATTCCCCTGCATGTTATCCTATGTGTCCATGTACACATAGGCTTTAAGCAGTGTTTTGTGGCAGGAGAGTTTAGTGGCAGAGAAAAAACCCACCGCCAGGGCGTCCTTGGCTGAAACAAAACGCTTGACGCGTTTGTAAATGTGTCTAAATTCTAGGCACGTTTCTAGCGCTTGAGCATTAATTTGTTTTACATTGGCAGAATAAATTATTTATTTTGGCCAATTAAATTAATGCCCAAACTTTTGACGCAGATTAACGCAGTAAACACGGTTACAAGTATCAGGCGTGGGTTGTTGTTGTTTTTGTTTTTTTTTTTTTTTTGTCCAAAATGCTGCTGGCTTCTAGGGTAATTAAAATTAACCATCTGTGTGCATGAGGCCTAAAAATTGTAATTTAACCCGTTTGTGACAAACACCTTGACATGCTAAAGTGTAAAGGATCCTCCTGCACTCGATGGAATGATAACTAATAATACAGCTGCTGTCACTTAACTAATACCAACAAGTGCAAGCAAAAAAAAAAAAATAGTGAAGCTCTTATATCTCATAAATAAAGTGCATTCAAAAAAGGTAATAAAAATGAATTAATATAAATCTGATACTCCTGTGTGACAAATCTATATAATAAACACTAATACCTCCCTCTGGTGGGAGAAAAATAGTGCAACCGAATGTAATTAAGCTTTAGTGATTCAACACACACTATAAAAAAAAAAAAAACTTCTTATACTGTGCATATAACAAATTTCAATACATAACCAAATGTGAATAAATTAGTGAATATAAAATTATCCACATAAAAATAGTGCCTAATTCATACACATTTCATATACATCATAAGTGAGAGAAAAAATGTCCATGCATGTGACTCTGTGCTTTTATAAAACACACGTGATCTCCACTTCTAGGTGCAAATAATCTCCTCCAAATGGCAGCAATGCCTGCTCACCTCCCCTCCTTGACCCACACAGGGCCCCAAAGCAGTTTCCACCTCAGTGGTGTATCTCCTCTGGCAGACTCCTTATTTCTCCTCTCTTATTCAGACTCATAGACATAACTTTCCATAGTGTAGTATATTTATTAAGAAAGGGTAAAACACCACAAATAATTACTCACATGGTCCTCTTGGTTAACAAGCGTTTTTACCACAACCTATGGGTAAATCTGCATGCACTGGGGAATCCAATATGGCCGCGGCGTCCGGGCATGCGTCACCAGGAATGACGAACCGATGCGTTGCGTCACGTGCGTCGTGACTTCATCCAACCTTGGCATGTTTTCGTAAAGCTCTATGTATCATTGCAACTACTTGGTATATCCAGGTGAAATCTACCTTGTCTTTTTCAGAAAAAAATTTGGGCTTTCATCATTTGGTGGTAAATGGTAATGGATATTATCACTAATTATCAAAGGAAAACTGGCTCAAAATAGTTTGTTTTTATTAATTGTATCTGCAGATATCTTGCCATTACTATGACCTACCACCAGAAAACAACTCAAAACAAATTCTCCTTCTCCTGACAATTTCATATGTGTTTGTACCTGTAGTGGGGCCAAGAAACAATAGTGTGCATCACAGGGGTGGGCTGTACAGTGACTGGTCACTGTGATAGCCAATCGGAGGTTATCACAGCGATTATGTGCTCAACAGCTGGCCCAATGGAAGGATACCCACTTTGGTAATATGTGCATATGTTTCCTGGGAGGGGGTTAATGTGACATATGCCATTACTGTATCTTAATAATAATTATATAATTGTTTTCTATATATGACTTTTAATTACATGTTGGCATCTGCCCCCATCCGTTACATTTTGGGTATGGAAAGGGATGCGTTCATGACAGATACTAGTTATATTGCCCTGTTTGAGACTGGAGCCTTTTTTGAAAGTTGTCCATTGTTCTACCCTGCATTCTTCTTCCCCCGCATACTGCCTGCTGTCATACCTTCTGTAGCCCTCTCCCACGCATACTGCTCATTATCATACTGTTACTGACGAAATTCTTTCCATACTTCTCCAGGGCACATACTGGCACCCATCATACCTTATATATTCTTATCCTGCACATATTGTCTCCTGTCATACTCTCCTGCACAAGCTTCTCAATGTCCTACCCTCCACATTTCTTCTCTGCAGTGACCGCCTATGGTCATATCCTCCACACTCCTCTCCTGCATGTATTTCCCACCGTCATGCCTCATGTGTTCTCTCCAGCACATACTACCTCTTGTCATACCTTCTACACTTTTCTCACATAAACATCCTGCTTTCACACGTTCCACAGTCCTCTGCAGACACTGCCTGCAGTCATATCCTCCTTATTCCTCCTCTGAACATAATACAGGTTAAGACACTTCTAGCATTGTCTATAATATCTTCAACATTTCCAGTTCTAGAATGTGTACACTTTTTGCTAGATAAACTATTGAAAAAATATTAATATGAAACATGTTAATGTGGAGTTTTGATAACTGCCTTCTAAGCACAGATAACCTGTATCTATATCCAAAAATAGAACCCCTGTCCAGTTTTATGCTTTCTGAGGCTACGTTCGAGAGATTTCATCTCACTTTCTGTTCTGGGCACAACATTTACCTGGTATGAAGTAAGGTTTCAGTAGGGATATCAACAACCGTAAAAAGCAGACAGTGGTTCTAGCATTCCCCTACTTAACTTCAGAAAGCATTTTTACTCCAGTCTGTGTTGCGGATTGAGAGATTTTCCTCACATTTCCTAACCTGCCACAACCTTGTTGCTCAACAGGAGATGAAACAATTTCTCCATCAAAGCCTTTAACTGCAGTAAAACCTAATGGGAGTTTTAATCCTTCCACACGCTATAAAAAAAAAAAAATGTTTCGGTATAGGTACACTATGACTTTGTTCTGCTCAACCTTTGAGTACCTATTGGATATAATTTTAAAGAACATATTGTCTGTATATTTTTAATTTTAGTCACAGCAATGATATAGTTATTAGTTGACACTGTCATTCTATAATATAGGATCTGGTAAATTATGTTTAGTAATTAAATCGTGTTCTGTTGTTTTCTATAGGGAACTGTGGAGCTCCTTTGAGGTTGGACTTTGCCATTGTGGAAAGTCAATTTAGTGGCCAAGACAATTTTTCTGTTGGTGCTAATGTAAGTTATTCCTGCATACCTGGATACATCCGTGTTCCTGGAAGCAAAAATGTTATATACTGCTTGGATAATTCAACATGGTCAACTCCTGAAGTGTTCTGCCAGCGTAAGTACTTTGTACTATCTCTTTATTTTATTCCTAGAAGATTTTCTGTCTAATAGCAGCATGACTCTTGGTGCCATTGTGTCAGAAAACTCATAAACATATGGGAAATTCCACCTATAAAATCTATATACCCCCCTGTAAGTTTTTTTTTTTTTTTTCAATTTTTAATTCTGTTTTAACCCAATATGCACACATACGTAACATGTGAGTTGGCTATAGCTTTTGGGGTGTTTTTTTTTTTTTTTTTTATTTTTTTTTTTTTTTTTATTTTTTAATTTCCCAACTCCCCAGTATAAACCCAATACTTTAGTATATATCACTTTAAGTCAGTGTTTAGCAGATGTAACTTACAGCCTTGAGTTCTTGTGGAAAGGTTTCTATCAACTTTGTACATCTCAACACTGCCTTATTTTCCTATTCTTCTTTGCAAAACTCTTTAAGCTCTGGGAGATTGCATAGGGCCCGTGAGTAAACAGTATTTTACAAGTCCAGCCACAGAATCTCTATAGGGCTGAGATCTCAATTTTAACACAACCATTTTGTGAACAGTATTATTTCAAAGGAATCCGTACTTGTATAGCTCTGGCTTTGGGTCATTGTGTTAAGGGAAAACCATTCTTCTCACAAGGTTTAAGTTTTCTTGCAGCCTCCATTAGGTTTTCCTCCAGGATTATCCTTTATGTTGCATTCTTTCTTCACTGCATGCTTCTGCAGAAATAAAACCCCATAACAAGATGCTGCAGTCATAGGTGTCCACACAGGGCTTGCCGGATGTGCCTGAGCTCATCCTGTGCACACTATCATTATCACTCTGTGTGCTGGCGAGGAGATCAGAAAGATCACCCTCTGACCGGCTCTGCCATAAGAGAAGTGCTCCCACACGTCTTTCACTCTGCCGCCTGGGAAATGGGGAAGATCTCCCACTGAGTTGTGGAAGCACTTCTTTCACTCTGAGTCTGCAGGCAGGGAGATAATGTGCCAGCAGGGAGATCAGAAATATCTCCTTTCTGACCAGAGTTCCACAGAGAGTGGTTCCTGCTTTGCAAACGTTCAGAACACCCGGCAGGAGCTCACGTGACCCTACGCATAGCTCCCTGATTGGTTGGAAGCCAGGATCATGGGAATTCTGCAAAGAGCAGTAAGAAAAAGGTGATGGAGTGTGAATCCCAGATCCTTTACCTCCATTTTCCTTTCCAAGTTGTTTCAGCCTGTACTTAGGTTAATGCAGATGCAATGCAGATATTCTCTCTGCAAAATCTGACCTTTTGTTACCTGCCTAGCCTTTAGATTGGCAAATAAACCCCATTTGTGACAAACAGGTATACACACGCATGCGCGTGAACTTTGGGGTGCACACCCTAATGCGTTGGACTGCTCATACCTATGGCTGCTACATTTATCAAGATGTTTTTGCAGTTGCTTCTTAGGGTGTCAGGCATTTTTTCCTGCCTCTAAACTCCCCTGCATGTTATCCTATGTGTCCATGCACACATAGGCTTTTAGCAGCATTTATTAGCAGGCTTTTAAAGGCAGGAAAAAAAAACACTGCCCGTGCGTCCAGCGACAGCAGCGTTTTGGCAGAAAAAGAACTATATACCACAAAAGAACCCCACACTTGCCAAAAGTGCTGCACAACAAGATTATACAAATATATGTACATGTGCAAAAATGCAAAATGTATGTGGTTAAAAATATTTTGTTTTTATAATTATACTGACAATTAAATTGAAAAATAAGAAAATAAAAAATCAAAAAATTGTGACCCTCTCCAGTAAATGTGAATATAAAGTCCTTAATAAATAACTGTCCCACGCTTGAAACAAATCTTCAATAATGGGCTTCAAATAATTGTAAACTATAAAAATAATTTACTGCCACCACCGCTCACCGCTACTGCTTACCTCAAACCTTGCCAGCAATCTGGGTTAGAATACTTCACCAGATGGGTAAACCACAAATATATCATATGCTTGATTTCTCAGGAAAAAAAGGCTAAATCATTTTTTTTTTTCTAGAAAACTACATAGAGCTCCCAAATATAAAAAAAAAAAAAAAAAAAATAAAAAAAAATAAAAAAAAATATATATATATATATATATAAAATTATTTTTTTTTTTTTTTTTTGGTTTTTTTTTTAAGCTGAGGCCCTAGAGAATAAAATGGTGGGTGTTGCATATTTTTGAGAACACCAACACTCTGTGCTGCACTTGCTAGATCTAATGCAATCTTGATTGGCAAGTGTATGGGGACTTGCAGTAATTGAAAAATCCTCATCAGCATGTGGATCTACAAAACTGCATATAGGTAATAAAACCATTATCAATTTGTAATGGTATATACATTTTAAAATGTACACATGAAAAATAAATCTATACACTGCTCAAAAAAATTAAAGGAACATTTTGAAACCACATACCATCTCAATGGGGAAAATCTCATGTTGGAATTCTGTACTGAAATGGACTAGGCAATCTGTTAGAAACGTAAGGATGCCCCATCATTTCATGGAAATGAAAATTAGCAACCTACAGAGGACTGAATTCAAAGACACCCTGACAATCAAAGTGAAAAAATGATGCAGCAGGCTAGTCTATTTTGCTGCAATGTCATTGCAGCAACTCAAAATGGTAGTTTATATGGTTCCCACGTGCTTGTGTGCATGGCTGACAACATCGGGACATGCTGCTAATGAGATGACGGATGGTGTCTTGAGGTATTTCCTTCCAGATCTAGACCAGGGCATCACTGAGCTCATAGACAGTCTGAGGTGCAACCTGGTGGCATCGGATGGACTGAAACATGATATCCCAGAGGTGCTCTATTGGGTTTAGGTCAGGTGAGCGTGGGGGCCATTCAATGGTAACAATTCCTTCATCCTTCAGGAACTGCCTACATACTCTTGCCAAATGAGGCTGGGCATTGTCATGCACCAGGAGGAACACAGGACCCACTGCACCATTGTTGTCCATCTAGTGTACCTGTTAATTAAATTAACACCAAAGCAGCTGAAACTAATTACTAACCCCCTCTGCTACTTAACTGACCAAATCAATATCCCATGAGTTTAACTGACTTGATGCTATACTCTGATTAAAAAGTATTCCTTGAATTTGTTTGCTACTGTCCACCTGTGGAACTGTACCAAACAGTACCTAAAAATCCCCATATATGACACTTAAAATCCTTTACAGGTTAACAGTTTAGGGTTACATAGGTGGTCTGGAGCTAGAAATATTGCTCTCACTCTGATGTTTGCGGCGATACCTCACGTGTGTTGCGTGCTGTACTGACATATGCATTCACATTTGTTCACAAGCACAGGTGGACAGGGGTGCTTTTAATAAAATAGAAAAAAAAATGTTTAAAGTACAGTCTCTTTAATTTTTTCCATTAAATTGCTATAACAAGGGATGAACATCCTTAGTGGCAGCATGGCTGGTGAGATGGAGAGATTTGGGGTCTAACAGACCACAGACCTCTCTGCTCTGGCCTCCGATACAGCTGTCAGACACAGATCAGGCTGATCAGCTGCCGGTAACTTCCAGGTAAACAAGGAACCAAAACTGGAAGTGACTTATGCAGGCCATAGATGGGGAGAAAAACGGTCGATTTTTCGTCCGAAAATAAAACCGGCCGATTATCTTATCGTTAGTGGACGATTTTGTCGGCCGTTTTTCGTGTATTTTGGACTTTCAGATTATCGGTGATGTTGGAAAATTTTCGAAAAACGCCCGACTTTATCCTCATTGATGGTCAAAAACGAACGATCGTTTTCCGAAAAAGGATCACAAAGGCCACAAAATGACATAATTTCCCGTTATAGGTTACTCATTAATCGGCCGATTTTCGTAATAATTGGTGGTCAGGTAAGTTTTTTTTTTTTAGACCGACCGATAGTTCGTTAATCGGCCGAAAATCTGCCGTTTTTCTCCCCATCTATGGCCTGCATAAGTCCTCATCGCTTTGAGTTTCTGATGTCACACAATGGGAGGAACAACATTAATTCCTTTTAACTGTGTGCCTGGAGCTGGATGCTGCGGTCACATCCATAGCGTCCCCCTTCCACCACCTGTAAAAGTAATCCAGTGGCCCTTTTGCTGCTCGGATTATTTTTACCAGTTTCAGAATTGCCGGCTGGAAACACTGATAACTCGCCCATTGCTCCAGTACGTCTCTGGATGGGAAGTGGTTAAAGTAGTTGTAAACTCTTACTTAGACAGTGAAGTGACTGGCCTCAGGTGGTACAGAGATGAAACCAATCCTCTTGCATAAAGTTGTACCTGTTTATCTGTAGCTTTTCTTCTGTAGATTTTTCTAAAAACACAAAGCTCAAATGATTTTTTTTTTTTTTTTTTTCTCAAGTCTAGCAGCAGGGGGCAGGGATCTGACATCACACCCTTGCAGAGCTAGAGCACAGAGGTCACTGATAGTTGATTAGAGGGAAGGGGCACACCCCCTTTATTCAGGTTTACAGGCACATAGAAAAATACAGAGCTAAGCCTATGAGTCACCTGCTGTGGGCTGTCTCCCTCTAATCTGTTCAGTTCCAGAAAAACTGAAAGTGACTCATGCATATAGCAAAGAGAGGAATGACCAGAGAGGAACCACACTTGGTGCTTAGTGTTCAGGTTAGCACGCACTGTAGTGGGATGTGCTTTGTTCATTTTTCATGTCTGAGGTTTACAACTACTTTAATTATTACTTTATCTAGATAATCTTATCGCCCTTCTTCTTTCTTTTTTTTTTTTTTTTTTTTTTCTTGTTTTTGTGAAACCCAACATATAATGGGCTCAGCTTTTAATGTGTCTCAAAAAGAAAATGCCTGTCTTATCTAAAGTAAATTTACATTTTTGCCATATTACATTTTTTGCCAGTGGAGTTGTTGTGCATTTTGTGATATTTTTCTAATGCAAAATGCATTGAAGAAAAGAATGTGTGTTCATTAGGGCTTGTTCATATTAATGTGCTTCGTTAGGATACACTGAAAAAATTACTATTCAGCGGTTGCTTTATACAGCTAGTTTTACATTTCAAAATATATAGTGCATGCTTTTTGTCAGCTGCTTCACTCCGAGGTCTGAATCTACAGTTTGTTTGTTTTTTGTTTTTTTGTTTTTTTTTTTTGTCTCATTGGATTACAACTGGGTCGCAATATTTATAAGTGTGGCAATAAAGAATCTATACTGAGCTAGTCTGGCTTCCTTGAGTCAGTTCCTGTGGATTGCTGCACTTCTCATTTTAAAGCTAAACTCTAGAAGTGCATTGAAACTCCATCCTATGCAGCTCTGCAGACATTTAAACATCATGAATTGTATTTTTATATATACAAAGCGTGTAAGGACCTGAATTTTGTTTTGGCATGAGCCTCTTGCAGTTCCTGTACAGTAGAGCTCAGACTAAGGAAAAGCAGCACAAGGAGCAAGTCAGCTGTAGTTAGGTGCTCATGTGCTAACAAGGAGCATGCTGGCAGTACAGTGCAAGATGAAAGATGAGCTCATCAGTCTATTTCTCTTTTCACTGTTCAGTAACATGTTTGGGGAGGTACCAGTCCTCTGTATATTGCCTAACTGCAGTAGAAAAAAATCAGGTCTGCTGCAGAGTTTATGTAAATGTGAGGGCTGAAAGGACATAATATAAAATCTTTAGCAGGTATAAAAGCCACCAAATATCTAACCATCAGGGTTGCCAACCATATAGAAATTTTACAGACCGTTTGTAAATATCAGCCTATGTATAAACTGTCCATAAATGTCTGTTTATGGACATCGTTTACAAAAAAAGCAAACATTTGGCATGCACAGTTCTGAAGCATGCCATGCTTTGGCGGTGGACGGGCACCCAGTGACATAATGGCACTACTGGGCACTTTTTTTTTTTTTTTTTTTTTTTTGTGAATTGCAGCAGGGCTGTGGGAGTGGGTGCACCACAGGGGCTAGAGAGGACTGGTGGTAGAAGGCAGACTGAGACTTGGTGATGGCTCTGCATAGTAGCAACGAGCCTCCCAGAGGACCAGATGACTAAGCTGCACCCGAGGCCGAGCGAGCAAGCATTCTCTCATGGAAGTCAATGTCATATTACTACAGACAGGCCACGCAGTCACTCTGGGGGGGATCACTGATGTAAGGAGGGAGGGAATACACGAAGGTAGGGGGGGGGGGGGGGGGGACGCTGATATAAAGCTTCCCCTATATCAGTTACCCCCTCCTTACCACACACACGTTTTCCCCCTAAATTAGTGTTCTCAGAGTTCCCATTTTACATCAGTCTGCAGAATTGCGGACAATGATGTAAGGGGGAAGTTGCTCTGATGAACAGAGACCACCTTACATCAGAGTTCCCCTTTACATCCAAGATGGTCTGCAGCTCTCCCCTTTATTTTGGGATCCACAGTGTTCCCCTTTACATCAGGGTAAGCAGATGTAAGGGAGAGCTCCCTGGACTCTGATGTAAAGGGGAACTCTGTGAACTAATATAAGGGGGAACTTTGTGGACTAATGTAAAGAGGGAACACTGGAGTCTGATATAAAGGGGAACTCTGTGCACTGTGATTTAAAGGGAAGCTTCTGTGGACTCTTGTGTAAGGGCTGGCTCTGGTGACCAGAGGCCCTTTTATCCTTAGAGTTTCCTTTTACACCAGAGTCTCCAGCATTCCCCCTTACATCAAACTCCACAGCTTTCTCCTTTACAGTGAAAGGGGGAACTCTGTGGACTCTGGTGTAAAGGGGAACCCTGCAGGATCTGATGTAAGGGGGAACTCTGTGCTGGTTTATTTACCTGACTTTCATGTAAAAGGAGAAATGTTTTTTGCCTTTGTTATACCTTCAGCACATTGCTAAGTACACTAACTACATGTTTGTAGCTTAAATATTGGTATTTACACTGAAAATGGGTTATTTTTGGCTATCTTTTTAACTGTCTGTAAAAAAAAAAAAAAAAAAGTTTGTGTCATGTCCATAGTAAAAAATTGGCTCTGTCATCAATTGTATGTGTCTTGTCAGGAGAAACAAAACGTAATTCTCCAGTAAATCTTTTTGTGTTTATCAGTAAATTTCACTTCGAGAGGTTGGAAACTCTGGAAATCCTTAGCTATTTGCTTTAGTGCTTTAAACACTTCCCCGCCGCTCTATAGTAGAACTACTGCTACAGGACGGCAGGGCTGCGCGAAATCATGTGTTGTATGCCATGCCACCATTGGTGGCTATAGATGTCAATCACTGGGTCCCGGCTGGAGATTCCCCGCCGGCACCCAGTAATTGCCGAGTAACACTGATATGGGAGAGACCTGTGTGTAAACACAGGTCTCTCTCCTGCCAGTAAGAACATGCTGCTTTGTAGTTTTTCTGCACAGCAGCATGTTTCCCCAGTAAAACACACACAGCACATTATGTAAAAAAACGGCACACAGTTAACCCTTTCATTGCCCCAGATGTTAACCCCTTCCTGCCCAGTGTCATAGTACAGTGTCAGTGCTTTTATTAGCACTGATCACTGTATTGTCAGTGGCAGTTAGTCAGTTCCCACCCAGTGTCAGAATGCCTGCTGCAGTCCAGCTATAAGTCACTGATTGCCGCCATTACTAGTAGAAAAATAAATAAATAAAAAATTCCAGTATCTATACCGCCATTTGTAGACACTGTAGCTTTCACTTAAACCAATTAATTTACACATATTGGGATTTTATTTAACAGACGTAGCAGAATACATTGATTTTTTTTTTTTTTTTTGTTTTTTACTGGATATGTTTCATAGCAAAAAGTAAAAAATATATATATATTTTTTTTCAAACTTGTCAGTCTTTTTTTTTTTTTTTTGTTTATAGCGCAAAAAATGAAAACCGCACAGATGATCAAATACCACCAAAAGAAAGTTCTATTCTATTTGTGGAGGGGAAAATAGACATAGATTTTATTTATGTACAGATTGCTTGACCGTGCAATTATCAAAGTAATGCAGCGCCATATTGCAAAAAAATGGCCTTGTCAGGAAGGGGGGAAAATACTCTGGAGAGCAAGTGGTTAATACTTTTTTTTTTTTTTTTTTTTTTTTTCTTTCACCATTTATTGAATATTTCTGTAGAAGTTTCTTCTTTGAACCTATGTTACAGAATTTCAATACATTTCTTCTAATATGACTTATTTTCCATGCTAATGTTTACACATATATATCAGTTTGTCTTGTGAACAGATGTAAACAAGAATATTACATTTTTATATATCAATTATGCAGGGAGAAGTTGTCCATACCCTGGAGATACATTAAACGGAGATGTGCACATCGACAATCTGCTCTTTGGATCTAGAGTAAATTACACATGTCATACTGGGTGAGTGTTCTTTTTATAATTTTATTAAATTCACTAAGCTATAATGCATGTGTGTAGTGTTTTGCGGTGTATTTGCTGATCCTGCTCCTCTAGTTTCTTGCTGTGGAGTGATCTCAACTGTGCTCCGCCTGCCACCTGTATGCATAGATAAGTAGTTGGAACCCGGTGCTTGTCTAGCGGCAACAGCACCTAAAGCCTTTGCCCTTGGCGCTATGTGCCCCGCAGCTGCACTACACTCCTCCTGAGTAACTTATCCTGCTTTTCCACAGCTACTGTTCTATCAGGTACTGTCAAGGAGGGGGATTTTGGGGTGAGAGTAGAGCACTGTGACGGGGGAGGGGGCAATTTGGAGGATTAGTTGAGCACCCCTGGGCCCTGCACTGTGTATGCAGCGCACCCCTGGGCCCTGCACTGTGTATGCAGCGCACCCCTGGGCCCTGAACTGTATATGCAGCGCACCCCTGGGCCCTGCACTCTGTACGTAAACACACACTCCTGGTAATGTTTGCTTAAGACCCTCCCACTGTTGGTGCAGGACATGATACTGCTGCCTCCTGAATGTTGTTGTTTTGTTTTGTTTTTTTTTGTTTTTTTTTTCTCCCTACCGAATGGGATTTTTGCATTGAAAATACTGTGTCACAACCCCAAGCTTTTGTCTTCTATGCAGCCCCATTGAGCTCAATGGGCAAGTTTGACAGGTGATGCTGCCTGTGAAACTTGACATGTCGAGTTAAAATTGCCACTCTGTGAAGCTAAGTATTGAGGCCATGGCGCTGTGTACTCACCCAAGCAACTGCTATGTTCATTTAGAGGTAGGTGGTCAGGTAGTTGTTCTGTTTTATTCATCCTTTTAGGTAAAGTCCCTATTACATAATCTGGTCATTGCTCTCTTTTGGCATGCATAACCGAACTTGTTTTTCAGCTGTATCAGGGTGGCTGATAATTTGTCATGCTGTGTTTACTTTTATATGTAAACCAGACGAATGACCTGTTATGGGCATTGTCAGTGTTTACAGATTTGTGTTTATACACTTTAAATATCTATTGTTTTGGGGGGCCGTGGCCAGTATGTGAGCTGGACTGGACGCAGGACTCTGGAGCTCTGATCCTGTATTGCTTCCTTCACCCTTCATTGAGCTCTGATTTTTAATTCAGGATCGGGAACCCTGATATAACACTCCAGCACACTTCAGGTACCTTTTTTGAGGTTCGGCCATTGCTCTTCTTGTTCCGTGGCCATCTTAACCACACGGTCAGTCACATCGACTATGTCTGTGGGCATGCAGACCTCCCCGGGCGCCAGCATTGATGGGACCCTGTCCACTGCAGACCTCCTGGTGGCGATTACAGCCTGGAAAGAGTTTTCCTGGCAATGGACATTAGCTTGCTTCAGCATGACCTGGACAAATTCCGCTCCAGGGCCATGGAGTGGAGGGGCGTGTCTCCGCAATGGAGGATACGGTCCGGGCAGACTCCAGAGATCTTCGGGCCCTTAAGCTGCAAGTCACAGCGCTACAGGCTGCCACAGAAAACCGGCTGAGAAGAAACCACAGCAGCATCCTCTGTCTCCTGGAAATGGCCAAGGGAACCAAACCGGTGGAGTTTGCTGAACTGCTGACTTCCCTCTTTGACCTTACCAACATGCCATCTACGTTCATGGTGAAACTGGCACACAGGGTGCCTCCTACATCCATTGTCCCTGGAGTTCCGTTTGAGGCCCTTCCTCCTCTGCTTGCTAAACTAGAGACTGGGACTGGATCCTAGTGGCAACAAAAAATCACCTATGAAAACACCAAGCTCCTACTATTCTCAAATTACTTGCCGGAGATACAACACCGCAGATCCTTCACTGAGATCAACAAATGCCTACAGAAAAAGGCAACAAATTCAGCTGCCTCTATCCAAGCAGGCTGCCCATCACGGATGTAGACCGGGTCTTGTTTTTTGCCACCCCGGAGGCTGCCTCTGACTGGCTGGATACTTACTAGCAGCTGCCTGGTCCCTAGGCCTACGCGTTTGTCTGCTTCATGGTTTCTGCAAATATCCCAGCTCATTACTTTCTTTTTCTTCCTGAACTGCTTTTTTTTTTTTCCCTCCTCCACAGGCGCTCCAACCCACCTTTCCTTACCTTCACTTCAGTGGACTGTTTTGTACCCATTTCAAAAGTTGTGCCTTGCTGTTGTCACCATAGTGACTGTTCTACATTGCTCTTTGTTTTCCTTGGCTCCCCCCTCCCTGTGGACGTTTCCTTGCCTTCAGGACCTATCTTTGTTTTGGAGTTTGGCTCCTGGTTATCCTCAGGGACTGCTACTGGACATAGTGTAATTACTGTTACCAGTCATTGTTCTTTGTTATTGGGTACAGGCCCTTCCCTGCCTCTCTTCTGAGTTTTATAGAGGATGAGGCTGCGGCAGGGCAGGGTATGCACTTCGTTGCAAATGGTCAGTTATATTGTTTTATGATTTGGTTTTGGTGTTGGCCTGGCTCAGTTTTGTTGCACATTTTGTTGTCCATACCGTCTATGCGTAATGCACCCCTAAAGTCATATCCAGTTTTCTCATGGTCTCACAGGCTTGTGACTTATTTACGGTCATGTCCTGAAATGTCCGCAGCCTCAATTCCAAATTTAAAAGCGCTCTGCTTTTCCAATATATTAAATTGCATACTGCCCATATGTTACTACTCCAAGAAACTCATCTCATGGGCAATAAAATTTTGCCTTTAAAAAAAAAACCTTGGGTCCAAAAGGCCTTTCTACCATCTGTTTTTCTAGTTTTGCTATTACTTGGGCATGTTTGTTCAGTTTCCCTTCAGTCTCCTTTACTGGTGATAAAACTTACCCCAGATCTTTATGTATTATCTCCATCTCCTGTTTTATGGATCATTCCAGTTTCATAAACATATCTGCTATATCAGATTTAGTTGGCATCTGTGAGGTCCTCTCTTGCTCTTCAGAGTTCTCGATAACCGACTCATTTTCTACATCTTCAACTTCTACACTTTTGACTGGTATTAGATACTCCCAGAGACAATCTGGAGCGATCGCCATTGATGTTTTCCGTCTCCCGTCTTCCACTCATTCCTTGTTGTCTCTCTGGGGTTTTTCCCTCAATTTTTTTTTTCTTGTGTAGGTATATATTTTTAGATTGTTTGTTTGGGGTGGCTTGGACCCTCCCCCTTTTTTGCCGCTTTACTTTTCATGGTGTTAATATTTTTCTATTTTTCCTAGGCCAGAGGGTTACTTATACAGGGCAAACTAGAGTTGAGCCCATCCAGGGATAATGTCCTTTGAGTCTTTCCTTCCACCAATTTCCTCCCTAGGGGTCTCTGGATTATTTTTCTCATGTGTCTGTTTCTACTCCTCCTGGACCCCCCCTGGGTAACCCCCTTATGGTCTTTAAACAGTGCTAGTTCATTTTTTAAGTTTTGACTCCCTGTCCTCTGTAGCCCCTCATTCACCTCCTCAATGCCACTTTCTTCCACTTTAACTAGAGTGACTGCTGATGGCTTTCTTTCTCCCGCAGGGGTTTCTAGCGCGATCGAGCGGTCAAAATCCCCTGTCTACTGAAGTTCATATTGGTGACCATTGATAGCTGTTTAATGTCTATTAATGACTGTTGGCTATTAGGTGGTTCTCCCACTGTGGAGTTCTGTGGGTCCTCGGCAGTCCTGTGGTGGATGGATCCCCTTCTCTGTGATGGGCCGGCTGGTCTCTCCAAGAGGTCCTCTTCAGTGGCCACGTGACTGCCTGACATTCACAGCTCCAGACTCCGGCAGAGTCTATCTCCTCTCCAACCAGCCAGCTCCTCACCTCCTCAACTTGCCTCCTCCACTCGCCAGTTCAGGGGACACCGCTCTCCGGTCAGGCTCCCCCAAAGGGACAGCACCAATGCCCTGGGTAAGTCACGGCCTCCCGGGCATTACTATCTGGCAGGTCACAGGGAGCGCTTACTGTCAGGGAGCGCTCACATTGAGCTCCCTGTCGGCGCCATGTTCAGGCTCCTCCCCCTCCAGAAGGCTTTTCATGCTACATGCACTATATTTTGCTAGAAGGGTCTTTATTTTGATCTGATCCTTGTGTGGTTGAGGCAAATCATACAGACCCCCAAAGTAAATATGTCCTAATGGTGCTCACTGTATGGGGCATTCGATATGTTGCATCTATATATGCCCCCCTGCAATTTTGTATACTGGGCTGGAGAGAATTACACCTTACTGTCCACCATATATTTATGTATGGGAGACTTTAATGCTATTCTCTCACTGGATCGGGACAGACTAGTCTCACCTAAACACTTCTCTGGTGACTTACTTACATGGGCCCAGACTGCAGGAGTCAAGGAGGTTTGGAGATGGAAGCATCCCTCCACCAGGTCCTACTCCTGTTTTTCCCTTTTTCATATAACTCCTCCTATATTCATTTGGCATTTGCAAATCCCTCCTTGTTAATTAAAGTTATAGATGCCATCTATTTGCCCAGAGGTCTCTCCGACCATTCTACTTTAGTACTAACTCTCTGTGACTCCTCCTCCAGAAACGTGTCTCCTTGGCATTTGGGCTTCCACTGGGTTACCCATCCCTGTATAGGTAAAAGACACACAGTGAGCGCTCTCAAAGAAACAGCAGCTGAACATCCAGGATAAACTCGTATAAAAATCCTTAGTAAAACATATACATATAAAAATGCAGCGCTGTAAAATGATCAAATCATGCAAATCAACACAATAATAGTCTTGAAAAGGTGCTCATCAATTCCTAGTGCCAATGGAAAGAATGCAAACTAACCAGAAGCGCATTTAAAATACGCATGTGTGTAAGAAATCCTGGAGATTCCCCTCTCTACCTCTGGTCAGAAAATGGATATGTGCTGAAATGGATGACGATAACTCCCTCTTGTGGGAAAACGAAATCCTGCAGTTCAGGAAGCTCCCAGAATAAGATATTCCTCTTCAGTGGAACCAGGGCTGGGATTGAAATCACTCT